CAAACGCTAGACGCAGCAGTTAAAAATCAAATCAATGTGAAAAATTGCCGGCATCTGGAGCCTCTCATCTCTGCCTGGAGCCGCTCAAGGCAGGCATCTGTGACTCCATGGATCCCCGCTGCTGTGCCCTGCTTGTAGGGCTGTGGCAGCGGGGATCAAAAAAAACATCTCCAGTGGGGGGCGGAGGAGCAAGCGTCGGCTGGCGGGGTATGCTGTTGGGCCTATTCTGATAGGGGCATTCGGCTCAGCTATTCTGCAGCTATTCTGCTTGGTACCTCTGTGGTACCGAGCGGAATAGAAAAAGGAGAAAATGATTGGGCGGAGCTAACAGTGACAGCTAGCTCCGCCCAACTGTTTTCTATTGGACGGGACCAGCTGTCATTACAATGAGAGCTTGTCGGAGCCGGCGGTGATATCAAATCCAGCTCCAACAAGCTCTCATGACAGTTCAGCGTCCCCTGGTCACTGGGTAACCAGGAGATGCTGAACTGTCATTACACACTGAGGATCCGGGGGAGCCGCCGTGATATAATGGCGGCTCCGCCGGGTTCTCAGTGTGTAATGACAGTCCAGCTTCCCCTGGTTACTAGGTAACCAGGAGATAGTGAACTGTCATTACACACTGAGAACCCGGCGGAGCCGCCCTGATATCACAGCGGCTCTGCCGGGTTCTCGGTGTAATGACAGATATCCATCAGTAGCAGGTTGTCGGCCGGCCGTTTGGCCAGCTTCGGCTTTCACCTCGGCTCATTCGAGCCGAAGCATATGCCTTCGGCTCGACTGAGCCGCTCGGCCAACTTCACTATAGCCCGTACAGCAGCCCTTCGGTTCTACTGAACTGAAGGGGTCTTGGGGCCAAAGCTAACCGAAGGATCAGCCGAAGCTACGGCTGGATCCTTCGGCAGCTTTGTGAATAACCCCCATAGTACTATGTATCCCAAGTTATGAATGAACAGGCTGTGATTTTACATCACTTCCTGTTCATTCATGAATTTACAGTCTATTACAAACACTAGCAACGCAGCAGTTGAAAATCAAATCAATGGGAAAAATTGCGAAAATGGCTTGGCCAGCTGAATTGAAAAATGTTCCGCAGGGCTTGGCAGGGAAAGGGTTAAAGTAAAACATTTCCAATCGTTTTCAGGAGTCCCACCAGCGCTGATGGGGATCTCTGATCCAGCACTGACTCCTGTCCCACTGAGTCTGTGCGGGTGTGCGCTGCCTGGATTGACTTTCCCTGTGTCTCTCCTCTTCTCCCGACCGAAGATCTGTACTGCAGTTACGCCCGCCCTATGATCCTGTGCGGCCGCCCGAGAAGCTTTAGATCTTCGGACGGGAGAACGCGGCGGATACACAGGTAAGTTTTTAAACTTGTTTCGTGCTCTTTTATTCTTTTTTTAAAGAATGTTTTTGCATATAGCTACTGCTTGCTAGCAGTAGAGATATGCCAAAACATGCAAGGGTCCCTTAATGTATATACTTTTCAGTGCACTGCTGGATATTTGTGACATGTTCTAGCACAAAGCCGAGTCAAAGTTTTGGGCTATCACACCTGCTCTTCTCCTAAAACACAAATAAGTTGAAGCAAAGTGTGAATAAATCTCACAGATGGCATGGTGTTTCTTAAACCATGGCTACCTCTTAACCACTGTAAATTCAATTTAATGTTGTGTGTTTCAGCAGTTCAACTCTGACATGATTGATTATATCCCTGGTGCCCAGCCGGTAGCCCATGGTACTTGCTATTTGTGGCCCTTTGCAGAGCCCACAATTATGATTTATAGGCTCAGGGTAGATTAAATGGATGTAAAGTATATGAAGCCAAAATAATCCAAATAATAGTTAGAACCCCTGTCTTATTTATTTTTTGCTGCTTGTGTTCCATTGGGGATATTTTCCTGCTTCAGTTGGCAATTTGTTTCCTGATTTAAAGGTAAACTTAATGATGAAATATGCCAGGCATTAAAAAGAACTTGTCAAGATCGAAATATGCAAGCTTTCATTTGAAAATGTATACTTTCAGCTGTCATCCTTTTCCTTCACTGGCTCTGTTCGTACCACCATTGGTGTTCTGACTGTTAAAGAATACGTTTTTTTCTTTTTTTAACAACTAATAGCGTAGACAACCATTTAACAACTAATTAATTTATTTCAGTAATGTTAATATTGTGTGTATTTTTTTATTCATATACAAAAGACAACATTGTAAATGAATGATTATCTTGTTTTCTATGCAGGCACCTGTATTAATAACACTTCGGTTATGATGTTCAAAAAAGGAAGTTTTGAAATAGGTGGGACAATATTCCCAGTAGCTATAAAGGTAAATAAAGACAGATTGTTGTCACAGTTTGCAAACAGTAAGTGGGTATACAGAATATAAATATATGAGGATCCTTGACAACTGTCATTGAGTTTTTGTGCCCTGTCCCTTTTTACTGTCAGTTCCAAAGCTCCTTTTTAGTTTGTGTCTATGTGAGAGCTGCAAGGGCTTCCTTCAGGATCTATTACTGACATCTACTGACAAATTACAGTATCTTAATGTAAGCTTTGGTAATGGGTGATCAACTACATTGCAAATTATTTAAAGGAAACAGGTTATGTTATGCTGATTTACCCATTTGATTTTGCTACAATCTATCCATTACCTAATTTATAAATCCTTTGATATGAAATGGGAATGTTTTTAAAAAGATGGCACCTTTAACCAGATAGCCATTACTGTGTTGTAGAAACCTCTACAAGATATGTTGGTGATTGCAACATTGCTATAGGGTTAGTTCACCCAAAACACTTGTAGATACTAGAGAGTTAAACCACCTGACAACTTTTTAGGGACTTTAATGGTGAGATCTCTGCACATGAATTCTGGGGTCTGCACAGCTGATGTGGTAATTATGAGGGAATCCTTCCTTTTCATGTGTGATATTTTTTTGTTTGTTTGCATTTATATAACAGAGAATGCAACAGGAGGCTATGGAATATGAAAATATAAATAGGATACACAGAAATCCAAGATAAATAGGAACAGAGTAAATTTATTGCAAAGCAATCTTGCTGCTGGAGTGTCTAATATGTTTAAGAAACTAGGGGTTGTTTCATAATTTTACCTGATCCTTTAGGCAAATAACTAAAACTTTAAAAGACAGATATAGTTGTAATTGTTTCATAAAATACAGCCTGTAATATTTTGTCTTTTTTAGTTGATAATCCATTGAGATTAGTTTAGTAAAATGTTATTAAGCATGAATGAAATAAACGTTACATGCAGTTTCCTGAGGCTAGAGCTTGCTATGAAACTGTTGCACAGAAATTGCCAGGAATAATTTTTAATTGCTAAATTTTTCAATTGGTTTATCCTTTGCTCAGTTTATTTAAATGTTTTGTCTAACTCTGAGATTACAGATATAGAAACCTAAAATGTATAGTACATTTTCTTAAGATATCTTACAGATTTGATTTGTGTTGTTTTCACATTGTAGTATGACCCACAGTTTGGAGATGCATTCTGGAATAGCAGTAAATATAGCATGGTAAGCTATCTACTGAGAATGATGACGAGCTGGGCCATCAAGTGTAACGTGTGGTACTTGCCTCCTATGACTAGAAAGGTAATGTGTGCATGCTGTATTCAATTCAAAATATACTTTGGGGTGTATTTTTGTAAAGAATTCTGGAAAATCTAGAAAGGAAATACGCTATGTAACATTTGTTTTAGCCTTGCACATTCACACAGAATGAATGAACATGCAATTTCACATGGTGGATGGCTCTGAGAATTCTTTTATCACATGATGGGACCTTACCACCACATGGCTGAAACATGCCTGATTTCACAAAGACTGGAAACCATATTCTACCAATATGGTTTCCAGTCTTTGCTCCTATAACACTCCTAAGGCTGCAAAGACTTTTCCATTGCACCCACTTTTCCAACTCTTTCTCTACGGTGATTGGAAATACTCTGATATTTGCTCCCACCAAGTGCTAGTTGGCCTTATACCCTTTGGGTACGATTTTTGCACACAAGTAGTCTATCCCCGCTGTAGATCTGACTTTTTCCCACCATAACAACTGCTTACTATTCCAGTGGAAGATATGTCTCTCTTTAAGGATCCTTTGCATGGTTGGAAACCCTCTCTGAAATTCTATTCTTGCTGGCAGGCCCTGCAATTCCCCTATTACTGGCTGTGACTTTGCTTTGTCAAACCATGGATGACTTGTTAAAAACTCATAAAGGGATCTCACCGCTATTGTTATTGATCCCTTGCTTATAAAATATTAGGCTGTAGCTTTAAATTGCATTTTTTTGGAGTCTCCTTGCATGGGTCTCCTGGCAATACACATGTATAGGGCACTGTGTGTGTAGAGGAACCTGTGTGTAACAAGTTTGGTCTTTAAGAGATGTATCTTCAGAACAGTTCTATTATCAAGCTCTATATTGGGTCTGGTGGTCCTTTCTCAACATGCATCTCAGGCACGTAGGTGCAGGAGGTGGTTCCCCAGGGGTACAAACTGGAGTGTTAATCCATGCTTCCTCCTTGGTTTCTCACCTCCAGCCTTTGTGTTACTACTCAGATGGCAGTTTTTCATCTACGCCTCATGCATCTTCTGGACACAGAAAATCCTGTCTCTGCTCCAGTTCCAGTTGCAGAATGGTTTCAAAGAGCCCAATCTTGAATCGCAAAGCTCTTCATGTCTTAATTGGAGCCCAGAAATTTCACATGACATACACAAGGGCAGTAATTTCGTCTGTTCCCCAGGGAGACTCTTTGGCCTCTATGGGCATCAAGGATGTGTATCTGCATGTTCCCATCTTCTCACCATACCGTTTCCTATGGTTTAATGCAGCAAGCTTGGTGGCTCAGGAATGTGCCTCTGCAATCAGGGAAGTCCTTCTAATCCTTTGGAAGATCATCACAACAGATGCCATCCTTTTTGGGCTGGGGAGTAGTCCTTGCTGCCCTCTTGGTGCATGGGACTTGGTCATTGCAGGAGGCTTGTCTTCTGATTCTGACACTTCTGCCAATTTGGCTGTCTCTGCAGTATTGGAGCATCCTGCTGGCAAGGTTATCCAATTTGGATTTGGTCATCAGGGAGGAATCAGAAGTCTTGTTGCAGGGATGGGATTGTTATACTCCTTGTGAAAATTTCAAAACCTGAGGCATGCTTGTAGTAGGAGGGGTTATCCTGGGCTGGGCTACATGGCAGTATGACCCAAAGGTGAAAGACTTCCCGTGTCCCTCAATTGACTTCCGGAAAAACAAAAATTCTATGCTTTTCTGTTTTTGATTTGAATAAAGTACTTGTATTGCATGTTAAAACTTACTTTTAATTAATTTTTAATAATTATTCCTTATATTTTCAGGAGGGAGAGGATGCTGTTCAGTTTGCCAACAGAGTTAAGTCTGCAATTGCTAAACAAGGTGGACTGATAGAGCTTCCATGGTAATTGTTGTTTTCTGACACATGTTTAATGTTTTTATGTTAAAAAAAATGTATACAATGTCTGTCGTATTGTAAAAAGGTCATTCATGTATCTCCTGGGGAGAGCCAAGCCACATTTTCTGTAGTGCACTGGCAACATGGTGTCTCAAAATTCCAGTGCCTAAATGTGTATGTAGTTCAGAACCTGGAGCTCTACCTTTTTGGCTGGCAAGGGCAGTCATAGATAGGTAGAACTACATTTTTTTTATTGTTATGTTTTGAGGTTTGTTATGTATGAGGCGTGCTCTCCGTATTCCTAATAGGCAGCTGGTGGTTTTCCTAAACAAAGGCCATCAACTAAGCAAAGGCTCCTCCTAAGTGATGATGGCAGAGGTTGTAAACCTCAAACCATATAAAGCCTGGCAGGGTTCTAACATTTTCCTTACTATATTAGAAAATAAACTAATATCACTGGTTCTTTTTTGAGGGGTTTCCCCTAATTTTATGTTGCAATCAACACCATAATTAGGACAAGAAGTGAGGCAAATTTCCCAGTTTCTGATAAGCTTGCATACATTTCCGGCAAGATCAGCAGGTAGTTTCTGTACTTGCTGAAAATGTTTTTTGAAAAACGAAAAATAATGCAGGTACCACATCTAAGGACTGGCACGCTGCAATATATTACATTCTTGTTTTAGGTTTATATGCACTTTAAAGAAAAAAAGCCCTATTGGTCTTCAGCAGTGCAGAGAAAGAGTGCTACAGTCATGGGCAAAAATATCGGCACCCCTGTATTTCTGTGAGATAATGCACCACTTTGCGCAGAAAATTGTTGCAATTACAAATGTTTAGGCATTCTCATGTTTATTTCTTTTGTTTTGTATCGGTATGACACAAAAAAGTGGAGGGGAAAAAAAGCCAAATCTGACACATTCCATGCAAAACTCCAAAAATGGACTGGGCAAAATTATTGGCATCTTCTCCAAATTGCTAGAAACAATTACATTCCAAGTTTTTGTGGAAAAGCATGGCCAATCTCAAGGTCACAAATCCATCTCCAGAGAACATACAGGTTTTTAAAGCGTTGTCATTTCACAGTCAAACATTGTACAAATAATAACACACTCTTCTTAGCATTGGTAATTGTCCTTGTGAACTTCTTTGAATACTAATGCTGTATTTTGTTTTTATTTAGGGATGGTGGACTAAAAAGAGACAAAGTAAAAAATTCATTCAAAGAGGAACAGCAGAAGAATTATAGCAAAATAATTGCAGGACCTGATCATGTTTCTGAGAAAGCTGACTGAGCTGTGTTGTGTGATGGTCTATAGACACCAAGAACAATGCTGGCTTGTTTGATATTCTTCAGTACCCTTTTTGTACACATTTTCCATAATCTTTTTGTACAATTTAAAAAGCAACTCCAGGGGAATTGTGAGAATTTTACTGAAGAAGCGTGGCCACTGTATTTCCAGTTCACGTAATTTAAAGTAATTGTTCTGTAATTTTCTGTTTCCAGATTGAGAAGTATTTACAGATTTGCTTCTTGGCAGGACTAAAAACCTATTGACACTCTCTTCATATGGGGCTAGTTCTATATTTCAGGGTTTTCCCGGGTGGACTGCAGAGACTAAGATGTGTATTGTTGGAAATCACTGACCTGTTCAGACTGGCTGCAGGTTTATTCTATGTTAGTGAGACCTAAAATTAAGGTAACAGCAAAAGTTCTGGGGGAGAATGTTTTGTAGCACTGGGATCATGTGATTTGAATCTTATGAATTGCATGTGCTCCAATGAGCCAAAAACATGCTGGTAGGTTATTTGTTACCACATCAGCCCCAAAAAATGTATGTATGAATGTAGTATTGACTTTAGATTGTAAGCTCCAGTGGGGTAAGGCATTGATATGAATGGTTTTATGTATTCTGTAAAGCTACAGAACAAAATAACACGTAATACAGGAAATAAATAAAGCTCTTTTTTTCCAGACATTTTATTTATTGAGGATTTTTTTTTTTCTCATAACAAATAACAGGTTGAAGAAAAAGAAAGGCGTATCATAGTAAAGGCATGCTGTGCCGTATATAAAGTGAGACCTGCACATTACCCCTGTGACATGGGTGATCCTGAAAATATGGATATGACTTGCATGCCATGTGATTTAAGATTCCTAAGATGAGGCATCGGGTGAGGAAGAAGAAAAAATTGAAAAATATAGGACAACATATATGTAATCAAGGAAATTAGAAAAGAAAAGGGAATAAAACTTGTTTAAGTGCCCACTCTCCATACCCCAAGAGAATTTGTGAGTTGTGCTAGCGCATACTACTTGGTGTAATTTTGATTTGGTGTACTCCATTAAAGGAGAACTATGAGGTGGGTGCTTTTCACTCACCTCATAGCTCTAGCCGACCTGTGACAATGAGACTGTCACAGGTCGGCTCAGTCGATCGGGAGGTGAGCGAACACATACCGGGTTCGCTCGCCTCTCGATCCTGTCACGGCTCTCTGCCGTGACAGGGGGAGGGGCTGGATTCCCTGCTCCGATCTGCCAGCGCTGACTGGCGGAACGGACGGGGAAGGGGGCGAGTACAGCTGGCTCTGCCTCTAGATAGGCAGAGCCAGCTGTCACTCACGCAGCTGGGCGGATCCCGTCATCTAAGTCGGGACCCGCTCCGGCTGCGGCGTCTGAGTATACCGCGAGCTGTAGCTCACGGTTTACTGAGCTTAGGGTAACGGGAGGACGCTAGTTTGTGTCCTCCCGTTACCCTAAGGAGAACTATGGGGAAAAACACTGACCCCATAGTTCTCCTCCTTTTAATCAGGCAATTTCAGTCATGCTAAAGGTTTTTCCAATAAAAACCCTTCATCTCCGGAAGAACTGCTTTGTATGTGTAGTTTTGCATCTAGCTTCTCCCACAGAAAAAAATAATGTAAGGTATTTTGAATGTTTTGTATACAGGTTAGGCACTTCACAATCCATTTTCTCAGAATGCACAATGAGCTGAATGCTCTGCAGACAGCCGGGCTGCTGGACTGAGGGGGAGCAGTCTAGCATAGCTTAACACAGACCATGTGAGGACCCCACAGTGAAAGGCATGGGAGTTGCTGAGAACGATTAGGACCAAGGAGAGATCCTGTCGCTGAGTGGCGTAGGAAGTGCTGAGGAAACTGCTGTCTTGGTCAGCGTTGGGTCTCTGGTGAGCTGCAGATCAGGTACTGTACAGTATGTCAGGTATTGGAAGCAGAGGCAGGGTGGGAGAGCCTTGTTCAATGCCTTTTAAGAGGGTACAGTGTTTGGAAAATCTTGTGTAAGCTTACTGTGCGTTGTGTTTTTTCGCATAATAGCTGCTATCTTGTTAATAAAACTAACAATCTGAGATTACGTGCCTTTTAAAGGGCATATTGACTATTGTATGAAAATGCTAACAGAGACATGGTTACACAGTATCATTCCTGACTCAGCAGTAGAATTAACAGGTTGCAACTTGCACCATGTGGATCGTATCCTTGACTGGGTAATCCAAGGAGGGCTAATGCAAAGCAAATCATGAACATTTTATATGCTGTTGGTAAAGAACCCAATAAGCAGCCGTATTGTATTTTTACTGTAGTGCAGCATTTTAACCACTCCATATTTAAAATAGTAATGCAAATTTTTTTTTTCAAATGTGTATATTAAAACAAGGAATGGTAAAATACGGATCAGGTGTATACAAATATATCTCCTGGGATTTAGAGGTCAAACCCTCTCCACACTTTGGATTATTGGATTATATGTCCTTGCTCTTAATGCCAATATACAAAGCAGTTTTTTAAAAGGATTGAACCTTGTATAAGGACATTGCAAGTGTGGATGGACAAAGCTACATCCTCAGTGCAGGATTGCTTTGAGGAGACTGAATGAGGACGTGTTTGCACATCCAGATGTGTACTATTAAACCTCTGTGGTGTTGTTGTGTATAAAACTTTATATGGGGAATATAATTCTGGATGAATAGATTATTTCGTTTTGAATTTTTTAATCTATGGTTTCTGACTAATAAAGTAGCAATGTGCCCTTGGTACGTCTTTACCAAATCAGCTAAATAACGTTTTTGCTCATTTTGAATGAGTGTGGATAAAAATCAACTTGTATTTACAGGGCCTTACAATTTG